AATGACTCCTGGCGGTGCTTGGGGGACCATGAGATGTGGAGATCCAATTTGGGTTGGCAGCATGCAAGGCAAATGCCCTGCCTGCTGTACTATAGCTCTGGTCCCCTGGGCACATTGTCTGGGTTAGGTCAGACCCCTTTAGCAATTACCCACTTCTGGATAGCACAATACGAAATGAATCCTAACTACTGACCAGCAGCTTCTGCCTCGAGCACCATTAGGCCACATGGCTGTTTCTCCCAAGACTACCCAGTTGTCAGCAACAGCTCCTTCTACCACCACACTCTTAAGCCCCATCTTTTGCAGATGACAACTCCATAAGAGTAGCAGGACTCAGCGTCACTCACACGCCTTGGCACGCCATCCAAAATGAGCAAGCGAGCATGGTTTATGAGGCTGTGCACTTAGACTTACGATCATGTGTGTCTGATTTTTTTAGGTGGAGGAGGGCCTTCCCAATGACACTGGGAGCCTTTGGCAAACATGAACTCCGGTCCTTTCAATTCTCTCCCCTGTCTTTTTTTTTTTTTAAGTTTTGGGGCCACTCTGGTGATGCTCAGGGCTTACTCCTGGCTCTGTGCTCAGGTATCACTCCTGGCAGTGCTCAGGGGACCATATGGGATGCCAGGGATCACACCTGGGTGGGCTGCATGCCAGTGCCCTACCTGCTGTACTACCCCTCCAGCTCTCCTCTGCCTTGTGGTTTATTTCAGAGCTGGGGATTAAGCCCAAGACCTGACACATGCAAGGCATGTGCTCTACTGCCTATCCATATCCCTGGTCCTCACGATATCCAGCCCGGAGCTAGGGCGATAACTCAAAGGGTTAGTCAGTACACTTGCCTTGCATACTGGGCAATGCTGAGTCCCAGAAACAAGCTGGATGGACCCCTAGCAAAGCAGTGAGAGAAGCCCACAGTCAGGTGTGGAGTCCAAACTAAACAAAATGAGATGACCCTTGGCCAGGGCGATTCCCCTCTTGCCTTCGTCTAGCAAAAACAACTGTCAATTTGGTGGGGGGGGGGAGAGAGAGAGAGAGAGAGAGAGAGAGAGTACAGCAAGTAGGGCGCTTGCTTTGCAAGTGATCAACCTGGGTTTGATCGCCAGCACCACATATATGGCCCTCCTTATACTCCCCCGAATCAGCCAGGAGCGATCTTTGAGCAAAAAAACAAATAAACAAAAAGACCAACCCCTCCAAAAAAAACCCTCACCCAAAATACTAGAAGTTTTACATAATCCAGACTATAATAGAGGGTCCTGTTTTATTTTAGACATAATTTATTGTGTCTCAATTTAATTATAAAAGCAGTACACATTAAATACAATTTGACAAGCGCGGAAAATCAATAAAAACTAAAATACAGAAATAATTTCCAGCAAGAAATGTCTCCACAAACACTTGGAAAACTGTCTTCTATGTTTCATTACAAGTAGTGAACAAAATATTTGGGTTTTTTATTGCGGGGGGCACGTATCTGGAATATGGGCTTACTCCTGGCTCTGTGTTCAGGAAACACTCCAGGTAAGTGCTGTAGCAGTTGTACTATCTCTCCAGTCCCTATGTATGTAAACATAAATTCTCTAATTCAGAACGGAGGTAATAGTGTATAACATTTTCATTCCTTTATATATATATACATATATATATATATATATTTTGGCTAGAGCTATAGCACAGCAGGTAGGGTGTTTGCCTTGCACACAGCTGACCCGGATTTGATTCCTCCGCCCCTCTCGGAGAGCCCGGCAAGCTACCAAGAGTATCTCGCCCTCACGACAAAGCCAGGCAAGCTACCCGTGACATATTCAATGTGCCAAACACAGTAACAACAAGTCTCAAAATGGAGATGTTACTGGGCCTGCTCGAGCAAATCGATGAACAACAGGAGGACAGTGCAGTGCTATGTATATTTATTTTGGGGGGCAAACTTGGTGGTGTGCAGGGATTACTCCTGGTCCTATGCTTGGGGATCATTCCTGGTGGTGCAACAGGGACCATCAGTGGTGCAGGGATCAAATCAGAATCCACCAAGCCAACTGCCTTACCCCATTTTGGAGAACATAGTTGCACTGTATTACATCCACAATTGAAATTGCATTCTTTTTGGGTTTGTGGGCACCCGCGGTGGTGTGCAGGAATCATTCCTGCAATGCTTGGCAGAACTTATGCGGTGCTAGGGATTGAATCTGGGTTGGCTGCATGCAAAGGAAGTGCCTTAATCCCTTACTATCTTTCTGGTCCCCACAATTTTATTTTTTAGAGACAAATGGCATTTCTAAAGTTTATTTATTCTGGGGCTGGAGAGATAGCACAGAGGGTAGGGCATTTGCCTTGCACGCGGCGGACCCGGGTTCGATTCCCAGCATCCCATATGGTCCTGTGAGCACCGCCAGGAGTAATTCTTCAGTGCAGAGCCAGGAGTAACCCCGAGCATCACCAGCCGTGACCCAAAAAGAAAAAAAAAAAGTTTATTTTTATTTTGGGGCCACACTCGGTAGCGCTCAGGAGTTACTCTTGGTTCTGAACTCAGGAATTACTCCTGGAGGTGCTCACGGGACCATATGGGATGCTGGGGATTGAACCTGTGCTGGCCGTGTACACGGCAAGTGCCCTACCCACAGTGCTATCTATCTCTCTGGCCAAACCTTCAAAACAATTTTATTGAGTGACATTCAGTATTATTGTTCTGAGCCACTCCCTTATTATCAGGAGTTAAGTTTTTAAATTGCACATAACACAGTGGACATACATAATTTGTGGGACTTTCTTATTCACTGATGATAAAATTCCACAAGTAGAATAACTAGATGGAGAGGTATATTATCAGGGTCTGATTTAGACCATCAAGTTGCCTTCCAAAAAAATGTTACATGCTTAGTAATTATTGTAGGTGCCTATTTTTGCTGGAGTGATAGTACAGCCTTGAACATGGCCCACCTGGGTTAGATCTCTGGCATCCCATATGGTCCCCTGAGCACTACCAAGAGTAATTTCTGAGTGCAGAGCCCAGGAATAACCCCTGAACCTTGCGGGATATGACTCAGAACGCAAAAAACGATAGAAAAGAAAAGAAATTACACATCTCAGATGCGTCATTTACCTCCAGAAAAGGCGTTGTCTGAATTAGGGCAGGGAGGGGCACCCTATGCTGTGTAGGGGATCCTCTCGGTTCTGCCTTGGGATGGTGTTGGGTGCTGGGGCAGGGGGCATGCAACCATGGGACCAAATCTGGCAGTTGCTGTGCGGTCCTGAGCCCCAGTACTACCTCTCAGGTCCTTCTATTTGTTTTTTATTTTTTCGTGAGTGTGGCACACCCGATCTAGCCCAGGGCCTCCCAAACTGATCAGCCCTTGGGCTATGCCCTACTCCCTCATTTGGATTTTAAAGGGCTTGAGGGTAGTATGAGGAGAAATCAGCAACTTCAGATGAAATATTTGGTTTTATTCTTTTGCTAGTGTTTATTGCATTGTTTTTAAAGTAGGCATTTCAGGCTGGAGGTATAGTCCTGCGGGGAGGGCATTTGCCTTGCACCCACGGCCAACCCGAGTTCAATCTTCCACATCCCATATGGTCCCCGGAGCACTGCCAGGAGTGATCCCTGAGTGCAGAACTAGGAGTGAACCCTGAGCATCACTGGGTGTGACCCAAAGAGCAAAAAATTTAAAAAAAAATTTAAAAAGAAAAAGAAGCTTCCGAACGCCAGAAAGAAAGTACGGCGGTAAAGGCGCTCGCCTTGCAAGTGACCAACCTGCGTTCAAAATACAGAAAGAACTGCGTGAGGTGCAGGAGGTAGGAGTAAGCCCTGAACGCAGCTGGGTGTGTTCCCCAGATCCAAACAACAAGAAAGTCTCCCCTATTCCCCTCCTGTCCGCATCGTGAAAAATGCAAAATGCACAGGAAGAAGGGCACGGCGAAGGCGCGGAGTCCAGCACGAAGGCACTGAGTCCAGCACACGAAGGCACGGCGTGCAGCAACCGCGGGCGGGACCCGCTCTCTCCGGCAGGCGCCCACTCGGGGCAGAGGCCGGGTTTGGGCTCGGAACCGCGTGGGCCGAGAAGCCGCTTCCATCGAGATGATCCAAGCGGGCAGGCAGGTGCCACGCGGGGCTCCGCGGTCGGCCAGCGCGCGGGGGCGCAGGGCGGGGCTCGCGGACCCCTCGGGCCGGGCGCGGACCCCGGGCACCGAGCGCGGGGCGGGCGGCCCCAGCGGCGCACGCGGCGACCCGGGTTCGATGCCGGGCATCCCGTTCGGTCCCCAGAGCGCCGCCGGGAGCAAGTCCTGAGTGCAAGAGCCAGATGGACCCCTGGTGGACGCCGGGATCAACTCCCGAGACTCGCCGGGACTGCTATTCCTGACAACCGTCAGGCGTGGCTCCAAAATAGAGACAGGGCAGAAAAAAGCAAACAAGAAGAAAATCGGTCCATAAAACGAGGTCAAGTGCAGGGTCAGCGGTCTCGTCCTCCCGCCCCGCCTTGGGGAACGTCCAGCCGAGTGCTCCGGGGACTCGGACGCCCCGAGCCGGGGTGACCCGGGGGCGGGAGGGGAGGGTCTCTAAGTGCTACCGACCGGCGGCTGGGGGCGCGACGGCCCGCCCAGCCCGGCCGTCGGGGACACGCGGGACCTCGTCCCGGCCGCAGCGGGGTCCGAGGGGCGCCCGGATCGCCCCGGCCTCGCGGGCGCTCGCAAAGGCCGGAGGGCAGCCGCGCCGCGGGGGGAGCGGGCGGAGGCCGCGGCCGCGGGGCCCCGGCTCGCCCGCCGGGAGGGGCCGGGCGCGCGCCGCCGCCGCCGCCCAGTGCGCAGGCGCCGGCGGGCCGCCGCGCCGCGGCCCCTTTAAGAGGCTCCGCGGGCCGGCGCCGGGCCGGGGCTTCCGCTCCCCTCCCACAAGGCAGCGCGGCCGGGCGCCTCGGAGCCGCGGGACGCTGCGGGGCCGGCGGGCGGCGGCGCGGGCGGCGGGGCCGGGGCTGCGGCTGCGGGCGGCGGCGGGCTGGGGCTGCGGCGGGCCGCGGCGGCGGCGGCGGCGGGCGGATGTCGGGCTGGGCGGACGAGCGCGGCGGCGAGGGCGACGGGCGCATCTACGTGGGGAACCTCCCGACCGACGTGCGCGAGAAGGACCTGGAGGACCTGTTCTACAAGTTCGGCCGCATCCGCGAGATCGAGCTCAAGAACCGGCACGGGCTCGTGCCCTTCGCCTTCGTGCGCTTCGAGGACCCCCGGTGAGCCCCCGCCCGCGCGGCGCCCGGCCCGGCCGCGGCCCGCGCGCGCGCGTCACTTCCTCCCGGCCGGCTCCCCGCCCTGCACGCCCGGGTCCGATCGGAGGCGCGCGCGCGCGGGGCCGGGGGCCGGGGGGCGGCGGGGGGCCTCGCCGCCCCTCCCCCGCCCGCGCGCCGTTGGCGGGACGTCCTCGGGGCGGGGGAGCGCCCCGTTGCGCCCGCTGGGCCCGCGCCGGGCGTGGAGCGGAACTCGGGGAAAGGGTCCGCGGGGCCGGGGCGAGCCGGGCGCCCCCTCCCGCGTCGTCTCGGGGAGCCGCGGGGGCGCCTTTCCCGAGGGGTGACGGACCTCGCCCTTTGGGCGGCGGCCGAGAGCCCCCCGGGGAGCCGCGTTTTACAGCCCGCGGGGGAACCGCAGGTCGAGGGATCGCCGCTGGGAGGGCGGCCGGCCGGGGTTCAGGGCTGGGTCCGGGTTCTCTCGCGCGTTCGAGGAGGAGGCGTGTCGTAAGACGGTGCAACATTGTCGGCTTCCTGATTGCTTGCTCAAGACCCATCTTTTGACATAGCTAGAAGGCACGTTTCGGGCACTGCGCTGCCCTGCACACATCGTGTCTTACGCGTGCCCCGTGGCAGCCTTGGGAGATGGGCACGTGGCTCGCGTTTCGCGATGGAGAAACTTGGTTGCACACAAACACAGCTCTGAGCAGGGAGAAGAGTTCGAACTCGGTCCGTTTGTCAAGTGGCGCTGCGGCTCCCTGGTTTGTAAAGATAGCCCCCAAATATAGCCCCAAGTATCGGTGTGCTCTGGTAGCTTGTTTTGTTTGTTTGGGGGCCACACCGGCAATGCTCAGGGGTTACGCCTGGTTCTGCGTTCAGAGTTGCTCCTGGCTGTGCCGTGGAGACTGTACTGGACGCCTGGGATCGAACCAGTTGTGCTTTCTCAGGCCCCTGGTGTAGTCGCTTTTAGTTCTCGAAGACCTTCGTAAGCATTTGTGTGAAGACCAAGTCGAAACCTTTGTTTCTAAAGCATTTGGGCTCTGCTCCTCTCCCCAGGCGCTGAGGCTCTTTCTTGTGTCCAACACTAGGAAACTAAGTTTCCTCTATTAGAGCCCTTGGAAAGTAACTTTCTTTCTTTTCTTTTTCTCCTCCCCTCTAGTGATGCTCAGCGCTTACTCCTGGCTTCGTGCCCAGGAAGGGCTTGGGACCACAGGGTGCTGGGGATGGAACCCGGGTCAGCGGGTGTAAGGCATGCTGAACTGCGTGCCCACTGTATTACCTCTTTTTGCCCCTGATACCAAGATTTGTTTTTGTGTTGGGGCACACTTGGCAGTGTTCAGAGGTGACTCTTGGTGGTGCTCAGGGCATCATATGGGGTCTGGGAATCAAACCCCGGTGACTGTGCAAGGCAAGCACCCTACCCACTGTACTTTCAGGTTCCTGAAAGGAACTATTTAGTTTTTGTTTTGTTTTTGGGCTACGGCTGACAATTCTCAAGGGCTACTCCTGGCTCTGCACTCAGGAATCACTCTAGCTGTGCTCAGGAGATCATATGGGATGCTGGGGATAAACCCGGTTGTTGGTGTGCAAGGTGAGAGCCTTATCCACTACACTCTCCCTCTCTAACCCCCTAAAAGTAACTTTAAATACTTCACCCTGCGGGTACCTTTTGTACTCAGTTTTGACAACTAAGTCTCCGAATCATCCTGAAAAAGTCCATCTGCGAATTAGTAGAGCCTAAGAAAACACTCAATTTGCATTTGTCTTTGAGCCTCGCTCAGCTATATAGGGGTGAGGTGGGGGAGGTAGAGATAAAACACAAACTCATACATGTGACGCATGCACTGTGTAGTTCAACTCTGGCCCCCACCTCTGTAATTGGTTCTTGGGCCGTCACAGCTTAGTGCTAGTAAGAGTTACTCCTGGTGATGGTCACAGGGCCTTGTAGTGCCCGGGTTTTGACAGATGCCTTCTAACTCTATCTTTATTTTTATTTATTTATTATTTTTGTGGGGTGCTCAGGACTTAGTCCTGGCTCTTTGCTCAAGGACCATACCATATGTTGCCTTTTTTTTTTTTTTAGTTTATCCCTCTTATTAAAAAAAAATTTTTTTTTCCATTCTTTCAACTGATGGAACTAGACCTGGTAGAAAAACTAAAAGACTAATCACACATAGTATGCACTTTGAGAACTTCTCACCAAGATTAGAGCAGTGGTTTTATTAGCAAAACAAATCATCTGTCTATGATTGTGTGCCCCTCCCCCTTAGTATTCTTTCAATGGACTTGTCTGTTTTAATGAATATTGCCCGCCTACTTTTAGTGCTCCATACCTAGGAAACTGTGTGACACCTGTCAAGCTTAATGCTAGTATGGCCAATACCATTTCACTATCAAACCAAAGCAAGATACACCAAGTTCCTGTTCTGGCCTTTTTTCTTTTGTTTTGTTTTTGCCTTTTGGGTCCCACTGGCGGTGCTCAGGGTTCCTCCTGGCTCTCAGGAATTCCTCCTGGTGGTGCTCGGGGGACCCTATGGGATGCTGGGGAATCAACTTGCAGTGTGCAAGGCAAAGGCCCTACCCACTGGGCCCCAGAGTTCCTGTTTCATAACAGTATTTCATTTCCCTCTTCGTGTCCCTTACTGTGAAACAGTTCAATCTTCTGAGCAGCATTAACTTAAACTTTTCTTGCAGAGATGCCGAGGATGCGATTTATGGAAGGAACGGCTACGATTATGGCCAGTGCCGGCTTCGAGTGGAGTTCCCCAGGACTTACGGAAGTCGGAGTGGGTGGCCCCGTGGTGGGAGGAATGGGCCTCCTACGAGAAGGTCTGATTTCCGAGTCCTTGTTTCAGGTATGTTGCTTTCAAATGGAATGAAATGAAGCATGTAAACTACTTAGCAGAGTCTGGCCTCCAAGAAATGTTAGGTATTAGTTTTCAGTGCCTGGGCTACCTAGGGCTTTCATTCCAGTAACCTGTGCAGGGGGAAAGCTGAAGCCTGCCCTGCTCGTCAGTGAGCCTGGATCTTACGAAGTTGCATTGTGGCATGGCACTGGCAAAATAAAGGCCTTTCTTATTATTTTCTTTTTAGTTTTTGGGCCACACCCAGTGATCTCAAGATTTACTCCTGACTCTGTGCCCAGGGATCACTCTTGGCAGGCTTTGGGGACTATGTGGGGTACCAAGGATTAAACCTGGGTTAGCCACCAGCAAGGCAGGCACCCTACCCACTATACTATGACTCCAGGCCCCAAAGCCCATTTTTTAATCAGAGTTTTCTTGTTGTTTGTTTCTGGGCCACACTTGGTGGTGCTCAGGGCATACATCTGGCTCTGCCCTCAGGGATCACTCCTGGTGGGCTTGGGGGACCATATGCTTGAACTTGGTTCGCTTTGTGCAAGGCAAAATGCCCTATTGTTGCTCTGGCCCCTAATTTGAGTTTTTGTTTTTGGACCACACCTGGCAGTGCTCAGGGTTTACTCTGTGCTCAGGGATCACACCTAGTGGGGCTCAGGGAACCAGATGCGGTGCAAGTTTCTAATATCAGGGCCAGAGTGATAGTACAGGCAGGTGGGGCTTTTGCCTTGAACACGGCTGACCTGGGTTCGATCCCCAGCATCCCATATGGTCACCTGAGCACTGCCAGAAGTAATTCCTGAGTGCAGAGCCAAGAGTAACCCTGAGCATTGCCAGGTGTGACTCCCAAAAGGCAAAAAAAAAAAAAAAAGTTTTTAGTATTGAATGGATGAGGGATAAAAAAGTACTTTGATTTAGAATTCTAGAGACATTCTCTTTTGAAATGTCTGTCATTGAATTTGCTAGGAATATATTCCATGAGTCAGATTTCTTGGTGTTTTTTAAATGATATAAAAATGTATTAACTGAGCCAGAGAGTAGTACAGTGGATAAGGTTTTTGCCTTGTATCTGTCTGACCTGGGTTCAATCCCAGGTACCAATCCCTGGTACCACATACAATTCTCTGAACCCAGATAGAAGCCCTGAGCACAGCCTGGTGTGGCCCAAAAACCAAAAAGAAAGCAATAACAACTTGAAGTTCCATGGGTTATATTATAAAGTGTAGAATAAAATGCCTAGGTTAACAGTGATAAAATGCTAAGCTCGGAGATTTATGCATTATTGTGTTTTTTTTTTTCTCTCCTTTTTGGGTTACTTACACCTGGCAGTGCTCAGGGGTTACTCCTGGCTCCGGGTGTGGCTCAGGGTACCATATGGGATGCCGGGATCGAACCTGGGTTGGCCACATGCAAGGCAAACGCCCTACCCACTCCAGCCCCAGATTTATGCATCTTTGATATTTTTTCAAAGGTGAACCAGGAAATGAGCCCAAGGCATGCCCTGGGTTTGTTTTTCAAAGTTGTGCCAGGGATTGACGCCAAGGCATGCCCTCTACCACTGAGCCACGTATGCAGCCTCTCTTCAAAATGCTAACACAGTGGTAAAGATGTGAGATCTTGGGCATTCTAGGGCCCTGGTGAGATGAAAGAAATGTGTAAAATGACTGGCGTGGGGCCTGGAGGAAGAGGACAGCAGGTAGGGAGAGTGCCTTGCCACCCGGCTCACCCCGGTTTGGTGCCCTACAGCCCATATGGTTCATTGAGCTCCACCCGTAGTGATCCCTGAATGCAGAGCAAGGAGTAAGCCCTGAGCACAGCCAGAAGTGGTCCAGAACAGCAATAAAAAGAAGTCTGGTGCTTCTCAGACAAGACTGTCCCACACAAGCATGGCAGGCGCCATTGTGCGTAAAGTGATGCTCTGGGCGAAGCCATAGTAGACCGGGGTAGGGCATTTCTTTTGCACACAGCTGGGTTCTAAACCAGCATCCCAGTGGTCCACTGAGCAATGCCAGAAGTGATTGATCCCTGTAAGCACAGTGCCAGGAATAAGCCCTGAGCCAGGTGTGGTCCAAAAGCCAAAAACAAAAGAGAAAAGGTGACACTCTCCCTATCAGACATAACCGACCTGGCGTGTGTTGTGTTGGGCCACACATCCTTTTCTCCTTTACCTCTGTAGTTGTTTAATCCTAGAACTCTTAACCTCCGCACGATGTCATACAGAACTTTACTTTTTCTTCTCCATGCTCCTCTGAAATCCTGCTTAGGAAATTATCAGGACATGGCTGCGGTCCTGAGCAGGTAGGAATAAACAGCCTTTGAGAGCAGGAGTGATTTTCTCTCTTGACACCAAGTAGGGCTGTAGAACTCCCAGCTAGTTCTAGCATCTGAGTCTTACCTTATCCTCCCACTGTACTGAAGAATATTGGTGGTCTTTTAAGAGGTGCTTTGTCAGTCATTCGTGCTACACAAAAAAAAATCCATATGTTTTTGTTGTGTTATATGTACTTTTGTTTTATCATTGGATGGCTTTAGCATTCCCATGACTTGGGTGTTTAGTTAGACAAGAAATAGATGGCATTATACATTTCATAATGGAAAGCAGTAGGACCTAGGAGACTCATCTACTTGGAACTCAAACACCAAATTTGGTAATACCAGATCTCTTGCTCATCAGATTTCTTGCTCTGTTGAAAGGCTTTGCATCTGAATGATTAACTTAAGACCAGCTTTTTTGTGTATGTGTGGGTGCTTGGCATAGAACTCAGGGCCTCACGTACTGCTCCACTGCTGAGCCAAGTCCCTGTGTCACGGCCTGCCTCTTCTTTTCTGTTTTGGGCCCCTAACCTGTGTTTCTTGGGCTCTGTTCCCAGCTCAGTACTGGAGAATTGCTCCTAGAGTGTTCAGGGGATCATGTAGTGCCAAGAACCAAATGTGGGCCTTTGCAGGACAAGCATGCGCCGTGGCCCTCTGCTCTCTCCCACGCCTTATAGTCACTTGAGTGTGTTCTGGTCTTGTGTCACCCACCAAGATTTGTGATACGGGGAGCCTGGATTTAAAAGTTGTGATCAGGGGCCTGAGAGATACTCGGGATGCTGGGGATGGAATCTTGCCTTGGCGTGTAGCAAACCCCCTTTGATCCCTGGTACCGCATATTGTCCCCTTAGTACTGCCAGGAGTGATACCTAAGTGCAGAGCCAGAGTAAGGCCTGAGCACTGTTGGGTGTGGCCCCAAACCTCCAAATTTTTAAGATATGGGGTGTGTGTGTGTGTAGTGGTTAACTCAAAAATTACTTTAGGTAGACTTTTTCTTTTTGGGTAACATCCGGCAATGCACAGGGGTTACTCCTGGGTCATGCACTCAGGAACTACTACTGGCGGTGCTCAGGGGACCATATGGGATGTTGGGACTCGAACCCGGGTCGGCCACGATCAAGGCAAACGCCCTACCCGCTGTGCTATGGCTCCAGCCCCCACTGCTGACTTTCAACAGGGCATTTTACATGTGTAAGGGTGTAGTCTTCTCTTGTATTCTCTGTGCCTAGGACTTCCTCCGTCAGGCAGCTGGCAGGACCTGAAAGATCACATGAGAGAAGCTGGAGATGTCTGTTACGCTGATGTGCAGAAGGATGGAATGGGGATGGTTGAATATCTCAGAAAAGAAGACATGGAATATGCCCTGCGTAAACTGGATGACACCAAATTCCGCTCTCATGAGGTAGGTCCTCACCTTCCGCTAAGCTAGTACCCCGGCCCCTCCACACGAGGCTAACTTAGCCAAGTAGCAGCAGGCCAGGCATTTGCCACTTGAAGACCATTAAAAATCTACAGTGGACAAAGCCAAGGAATTTAACATGCCTAAACCTGCAGTGTCATAACGAGAACACTGCAGTCATAGTATGTCTGACCCAGAGAGAACACTGATGCGTCTGTCGTCATGTGGTCAGCTGTTCTGCGACAGCACCCATTCACTGCTGATCCACTGATAGCTGCCCTGTCCTGGGTCTGCTCTGGGCCTTGCAAGCCAGCCTCCTCACCCAGGTAATGCTGTTGGGGCTGAGTAGCCATGTTCCTTTCCACTAAAGTAGTGCAAGATCCTCTTTGAAATCCGAGACACCTTAACGGTTTTTTTTTTAGACTTTTTCTTAAGGGGCTGGAGCGATAGCACAGCAGGTAGGGCATTTGCCTTGCACATGGCTGGCCTGGGCTCGACTCCCAGCATCCCATATGATTCCCTGAGCACCGCCAGGAGTAATTCTTGAGTGCAGAGCCAGGAGTAACCCCTGTGCATTGCCAGGTATGACCCAAAAAGCAGGGGAAAACAAACAAACAAAAAGAACTATTTTCTTAAGATTGACCAGTTGACACTCACTGAGGACTTAGCTCTTGGCATTGTGTTGTTCCTTTTAGAAAGATGGCTGTAACATTGAGACTACATACAAATTAGACGTGTCCGTGATCTCGCTCTGTAGTTTTGTTCAGTTTGTATTTTGTTCTGGGGCCACACCCATTGGTGGCTTTGCAATCAGGGGTCACTCCTGGTAGGCTGAGGGGACTATATAGGTACCAGGGATCAAACACAGCTCAGCCACATGCTACCCATGACACTATAGTTCCAGCCTCCTCCTGCCCCTGCTATGTTCTCTATTGAGTATTTCTCTTTTTCTCCCTCACAGCTAAGTTCTGTTCAATAAAAATTGCCCTCACTAAAAAAATGTTAGACATCTTCCCTTGTCTGGTTATCCAGCCCTGACTTGCTATGAAGTTTAAGGGCATCTGAGGGCTATAAATTTCCAAAAGCCCATTTAGTTCTCTACAGATCTTTATAGATTCCCTAATCCAGTGCCTTGGAGGCTTGCGTGGCTCACCATTGATTTTTTTACTTAGACTGTTCTTTAGGACTTACGAGCAGAAACAAAACAGCATTTCGACTGCAGTTACATTGCAAACTAGGGCCTCAGGAAGGGCAAATCCTAATTAATGACTTGACAGGGGAAGTGAAGTTTGTGTTTTGCCTCCTTTCATCTTAGCATCTTTAGATGTCTCAGAATACTGACTGCGGGCAAAGGGGTAGCTCGGCCGGCCTGAACATGCCTTGTCTGCTGTTTCTTCACTTCTTAGCGTGGCCTCTCTGAAATTGGTTCTTCCCTATGTACTATGACCAGAACAGTAGCACCACTTTTAAGGACTGCCAGAAGCTAAATCATGATAATATCGAGGGCATCTAGCTATAAACCTAGCTGTATTAAGTACATGCTAACTCCTTGCTCCACAGGTCCATCCAGAGGTTGCAGAAAACGAATATATGGCCTTTGACATCCTTGCCTGTTCTTAGATCGAAGAACTAGTAGCAGTAATTCAGCTATCTTAATAGTAATAGCTAATGTTGGAGCATTCATCACATAGGAAGCTAACATTTAATGTTTCTGTCACCTAGAGAAGACAGTAATGTCAGGCTGTTCTCATGTGGGGGGTTGTTCTGCTAAGTAGTGCTCACGGGGCCTGGGGGCCACTCCCAGTGATGCCTTAGCCCACTACTGATTGGGTCCTGCAGCACTGGGAACCAACCTGACCACCTTGGTGGGGCTCAGGGAAGGTCATGCTGCCAAGGATTGAACCAAGATCTCTGCGTGCCAGGAATGTGCTGGAGTCCTTTGAGCGAACTCTCTGGCCCCAGCTTTCCTCATTCTTAAAGTGGGCAGGTAAAGGGACCAGGGATGTGCTTTGCATTTTTTAGACCTTAGGTTCAATTCCTGATGGGGCAGAGGAGGGGAAGCCAGTAGTAGTGTCTCTTGGTAGCATTAGGGCGGGGTTCAGTAAGGAAACACTGGGCTGAGCAGACAGTTCATGTTATTGTCGACAGCTCTGTTGTCTGGTGTGCCTTGTTTTCTGAGTCTTATTTTTTTTTTACCTTTATTCCTCTCTTGAATTTCAGGGTGAAACTTCCTACATCCGCGTTTATCCAGAGAGAAGCACCAGCTATGGCTACTCACGGTCTAGGTCTGGGTCCCGGGGCCGTGATTCTCCATACCAAAGCAGGGGTTCCCCACACTACTACTCTCCTTTCAGACCCTACTGACACAGGTGATGGGAATTTTTTCTTTACGTTCTAGGTGAACTGAGTTGCTTTAGGCTCAGAATCTACATTCCAGATTGATGGTTTAGTGTCTTAGGAAATTTTTTTAATTTTTTTTAAAAAGGAAATAAAACTACATAATTTCTACCAGGGCCATATTAGCAGTAAAACATTTTAAACTGCAGAAATTGTGGTTTTGGTTCAGAAACAAGTTGTATATTTTTCACCCCTGATTATGGGGGGGGGGGGGAATCAATGCTGTGTCTTTGTGGATTGCTCTGCTATGGAGATCAGCAGTTACTGTGACTGAGTCGGCCCATTCTGTTTAGAAATATATTTTAAACGTTTAGTAATTGATATGTGTGGTTGTCCTTGATTAAGTTCATAGATATTACCAATAGGCACACTCGGTTTAGAAAATAAAAAATCAATTAGTGGTGGCAACTTGTACCCAATTGGTACAGAGCAGGCAACTTTATTTGTGAATATAGGTAACCGCTTTGACGGTGCATTAAGAACTTCAACCCGCAGGTTAAAGGTTCTCCTAATTCAAGGCCAAGTTTATAAATTAAACCGCCTTAAAAAGGAAAAGAGTACTGTAACTCTGTAGAAACAGATTTTATTTTTCCACTTATTTATTTTGGTTTAGGGCCACTCACAGCAGTGCTCAGGGCTCATCCTGGAGGGGGAGGAGGGGCCATATGTGATGCTGGGGATTGGATTCAGGTCGGCTGCATGCAAGGCAAGTGCCTTACCCACTGTACTGTTTGCTCCAGTCTCAACAGAACCAGATTTTAGATACTTGGGAAATTCTCTTATCCTTAAATCTCTCACATATCTGTTTGTGCTATCTGAACTTTTTGAAGACCAAGCCCCTCCCATCTTGATGCAGCTCTGTTCGGTAATACTTGGAGCGGAGGGAGGCTACTTTGTCCCAGGACTTTTCGGGGGGGGGGGGGGACACACGGACACAGAGAAGCAGTGTTTAAGGTGCTATGTAGGTGCTGGGCATTCAGGGAACATTCCTGGTGGAGCTTAGAGGACTGTCTGGGGTACCACGATGGAGCCCAGGTCGAATGTGTGCACGGCAAGCGCCTTACCTGTCCTATCTCTTTGGCCTGCCTTTTTACATATGATCAGGAACACACCATGAAAACCTGTTCTTAACAGGGAAGGGACTGGAGCACTCGTAGAGCGGGTGGGGTGTTGGCCAACCTGGCACCCTCTCTGGTATCCCAAGCCCTACAGGTGTGACCCCAGAGCACAGAGCCAGGAGACAGCTCTGAGTACAGCCAGGTGAGACACACCCCTCTCCCCCAAATTATCCTTGATAAATTTTAGATACCCAAATTGAATATTTTAACAGCCCCAGGACTATTTTTGGGATTATTTTCAGAAAGAGAAATTATAAGTATGACTTGTATCTATGTATACTTCATTTTCGGAAATAGTGAATAATTCTAGGAGTTTCTGAACTGGTCCATTTGAAACACCCTACAGAAGGGCCGAAGATACAGTGCAGGTTTGTGACACGCCCTGTTGGATCCTAGACAGCACATACGCCCCCCTGGCTTCCAGGAGCGACCCCTCAGCAGTGCTAGGTGTGGCCTAACCTCCCTCTCCCCATCCCCTCCAAAATAAGAGTACTTCACGAGAAAAAAAAAAAAAACGCTTGAGAACAGTGGGGTGCCTTGTGTTCCTTAAAGATAAAGTCTCTTATCCTGCTGTGGTCACCGCAAACAGCGACTACATGGAACAGCTGGGGTCGGTACAAAGTGTTCCGGGGCCACATCTAACGATTACACTTAGAAAAACTCAAGTGCAGCTTGATAGTCCTTCTCGGAGGAGACTGGGGTGCAGGATGACTTTTGTCATATTAAATAGCTTTTGAGCAAACACTCCATTTCCTTTGGAAACTGACGAAGGATTTTACATCTGGAACTCACTGCCTCATTTTGACCAGATCTTGGCCAATTCTATCTTCAGACTATTTCTGAAAAACACTAAGCCAGGCTAGAGAAGGGGATTACCCAGCTCTGTTACCCAAATAACCCATTTGGTCCCCCAGGTCTGGCCTTTGGTGATCCCTGAGACCAGAGCCTTAGGACCACCAGGTGCGGTAAAGACAAACAGTATTTAATCATCAGTTTATTTTTAGGTTACTGAGGCGGGGGGAATATCAGCATTCACAACAAAATACTAGCACGCTCCCATGTATTCATAGGACACTCCTACCAAGAGCATTCCTCCTGTTCAGCCGCGGGAGAAGGGCTTTTGTTCATCCAGCGTGGGCAGAGAGATATTGCCTGTTTAAAAATAATAACAAAAAAGTATTTTACAAAGCCTGCTTTCCAGCTGGCTCTCCTGAGTTAATAATCACTTGGATTGTGACGGAAATAAGCAATGAAAATAAGCGTAGATCTGTGGGGGGTTTGGGATGCGGGGATGTACGTGGCAGCTCAGGCATCACTTGTGGTGTGCCTTGGGGAACCACACGGGGTGTCAGAATCGAGTCCAGGTCTGCCATGTGCAAGGCAAGCACCCTACTCGGCTGTACTATCTCGCTGGCCTCAGCTGCTTAAAACAAAAAAACCAACTAGAATGAGAAGAAAATCAGAGTTTATAATAATCAGTCATATTTAAGTGCTGAGTTCAAATTTTGTTTGGGGGTTGTACCTGGCAGTGTTCAGGGCTTATTCCTGGCCCTGTGCCCAGGTATCACTCCTGGTAGTGCTCAGGGCAGCCAGGGATGGAACCGGGGTGCACGCAAGGCAAGCTCCTTAATCCCGTACTATTCTACTCTCTGTAGTCCTGAGTTCAAGTTAGTGTGCCTTTTCCCTCCCATTTTGCAGTGCCTTCTTTTAACTGGTAGGTCTTGAGTAAAAGGATTAACTAGAGGTGAAGGGCTAATGATTATCTCTGCCACCTATTCAGAATGAATCTTCTCTGAGGGAATCTCTGAACTTGAAGTTGGCACTTGGAAAGCTATATGGAACAGACAGAACCCATCTATCTAGAACCCGCCTATCTCCAGAAGAGAACAGCTCAGCCTAGCCCATGTTCAGATTTTTATCATTATTGACCCAGTTACTTAATTTTACTATCTTCTTGGGGTGGGGGCAGGGGTCAGATAGGGGATAAAATGAAGTGTCACATCCATGTGAGGAATGTGCTCTATCACTGAGCCAGACAAGTATTTTCAAAGATGACCTGTTATTTTAAAGCTTCCCTTCAAGGGAAAGGGGATAGCTCAAAGGGGTAGTGTACGTTCTGCATGCAGGAGGTCTGTGTTCAATCCCTGGCACTCACGGTTCCCCAAACGCTGCCAGGAATACCTGAGCACAGGTGTGCCCCCTCCAAGGAAAAAAGGTCTTGTTACAGCAATAGTTTAAAATGCAAAATTTTACCCACTTTAGTTATAAAGTTTTTGCTTATGGGATGCATCTGGCTTGTAGATATATTTTTTGCTTTAAAAATTTTTTTTTAATTTTGTTCCCAATACTTTCTAATTTGGGAAACATACAAGATGCCAGATATTTTTTGGGGGAAATGCGCTCTCTTCTGCATAGCACTGAATGAAAAGCAATGAATGTCAGTTGCCACTGTGGACAGAACTTGAGTCCTGGATTTGCCGCTCTTCACCCCAATTCTCTTTTGCCCCTCCTGTTACCTGGCCTCTGGGAAGGAGTGTGGTTCTCGACTGTGCTGCCACCGTAACGCCACCATCTATCTTTGTGCACTATTTTTCCCATTAGTAATAAATTTTTTAAATTACTTTCAGTACTGATTTTCAATTTTAATGATAAACAAAAAAAACCTGTGTAAGTTAAACATTCACAGTTCCACAGATTCCATCCCGAAAACTTGGTGGTCTTATCGTCAGAAGTCTGCTGTTGATCACCTTTCACTCAGCTCTTCCTATTTTTCGGAGTGCATTGCATATTTGGGCTTCGGTCACGGGCCCTACCTTGTTATTTGTTCACTGAGGAACAGTCTCCAACCGCTTTGGGCAACATACCTGGGGGGGCTACAAAATAGTCCTCCACAACTCGCTGTGAGTTTTGAAGTAGTTCTTCTGCACAGTTGCCTTCTACCACATTGTCGGATCTCAAGTATAGACATCTGCAAAACCAGAAGCTCCAGGTTACCTTCCAGGGCACGAGCGCAGTGTCGAGTGGCACAGGGGAGCACATTCCCAGCATGCTCGCTCCCTGCTCAGACGGAGGAACTGTAGCAGCGGCAGCCTAACCAGCAGCCCGGTGAGGTAAGTGGGAATGGCTCCTTGGAATTGCTCTATCTAATGTTTTTGAACGATCACTATGGGTGGATCGCTTTTGTTAGCGGTAAAGAGACATAACACAGCGGTAACCGTAATGGCATAAGCAAAAAGCCTGCAAGGGAGTAAAAGGGGCCACAATCCAGTCAAGGTGAGGAAGGGGTACTCCAAGTTGATGTCCCTGCTCTAAATGATGAGAAACAGCTGGGCGAGCAGGTGGGAAGTGAACTTCCTGCAGGTGCAGAAATTTGCTCCAGCATGGTCTTTCAGTTGACTTCGAGACAGTAGTTCATAAGTGATAGGGCTGGGATCCAAGGACAGTTCTGGTACTTCTAAGAATGACTGTTTTTTTTTCCACCACAGTCCTTAGGGACTTAAAACTAATTACTCTTGTAAATAAAACAGCTCAATAATCTGCTGTTCCCTGGACCTAGTATCTGAAAGCATCCAGATGGCAAACTGACAACACAAAAAAAGTTGAATATAAGACTCCATACTATGTGTATAAAGCATAAAGTTTCATGGGGTTAGAGTGATAGCACAGCGGGTAGGGCGTTTGCCTTGCACGTGGCCGACCTGGGTTCGATTCCCAGCATCCCATATGGTCCCCCGGGCACCGCCAGGGGTAATTCCTGAGTGCATGAGCTAGGAGTAACCCCTGTGCATTGCAGGGTGTGACCCCAAAAGCAAAAAAAATACATAAATAAAAATAAAACATAAAGGTTCATAGGTCTTAGAAGAGGTCTGCGCGTGCCTCTTGATACTCTGGCTAAATCGGCAGTGTGTTCAGTCATGTCTGGGAGAACCAGGCTTTGTCAGCCCTGTGCTCCAGATGGAGGGCAAAACCAACGTTGACAGCACTGAGTACCATTAACATGTGGGCAAAGATTGCATAAGTTATCAACAAAATTCTTTAAGAAAGAAAAAAAAGTAGCACTTCCACTTTGATACCAGCCAAGGGCTAGATATGACACACACTTATTTGTGGTTTAAAAAGTAGAGGATTTGGGGGTCTGGAGAGATAGTACAATGTTTGATCCCCTGGCATCCCATATGTTCACCCAAGCACTGCCAGGAGTGATCCCTGAGTGTGACCAGCCAAAAAAAGTCAACTGGAGTCAGCCAAGATCTGGCGTTATCTTAACTGGCCTCGAGCAAATAATGATCTTTGCAGACCAACAGAAGTGAAGGCTGCACTTTGTTTTTAATTTTGGGTCACATCCAGCTGTGCACAGGGCTTACTCCTGGCTCTGGGCTCAGGGTACCATATAGGATGCCAGAGATTGAACCTGCGTCAGCTGCCTACAAGACAAACTTACCTTTTACTATACTATATCTGCACTTGTTATCTTTTTAAAAACTTAAGGCGGTTATGCACTCATTTCAGAAAACATTGGAGCAAAAATAAAAATCATCTGTAAAGGTGACCATTGGACCATCTGGAGTTTATATTTCTGTTGGGCAGAAAATAACTAAGATCTGGGGTCCTGAGTTACGGCTGAATTTTAATCCCAGTGTTACCCCTGGCATATGCAGTCATTTTTTACTTTCCATGGATCAGTTTTCTCATTTGTATAATACAGAATTACTAAGATTAAAATTTGATAGTTCTGGGCCTGCATTCTTCTGGCAATAAGTGGAGGGTGGGTCCTGGCCTTTTCGGGTGTGCCCACCATACTTAGAGAGTATACTCAGGCGTTTAACCTGCATGGTCCCGATGTGCTGGCGGGTTGCTGCTTGTTCTAGTGTTGTGTGTGGTGCCAAGGATGAAGCACTATTTACTGCTGGGCCACATCCCTGGCGCCCAAGTCTGATGAAAATCTGCTGCTGGAGATGGAGCTCAGCCAAGAGCACTTGCCCTGCGTTTGATTCACAGCATCTACCGCTGTCTCCTCCCCTCACCTGCCCTCCACCCTCAAAAAAAAAAAAAAAAAACACCAACCATGAACTGCTACCACCACCCACAGGTGGTTGAAAACCCCCTGCTTTCCAATAGATCTAGCAGTGATTGGCTATTCACTCATGTAGAGTCGGGTTTCCTATCAAGTGATGTTTCCAGAGAAATAACAAAATTCACTCTTTTACTTTGCAGACCAGGGATGTGGCTTAGGCTCTGTCCTGGGCACTGCATACAATAAATCACACATATTTCTGATAACGTTTATGGAACAAACCCACATTCCTCCCAGACAGGCTGGAGAGAGTGCACAGTGGGTAGGGCATCTGCCTTGCACGCGGCCAGCTAGCCCGGGTTCGATTCCCAGCACCCCGTATGGTCCCCAGAGAACCACCAGGAGTAGTTCCTGAGTGTGTGAACCAGGAGTAATCCCTGTGCATCACCGGGTATGATCCAAAAAGCAAAGGAAGTAGACATTTCTCCCAGACATGTATGAAGCGTGGCACACCAAGTAGGTGCCAATTTGTCACGCCACTTTTCTTTGCCTCAACTCATGCATAAAACACTGAACGGGACCAGATGGGGTCTTAGCTACCTGTCAATTTGCCCCGTCTCAGGGTCCACAAGGGACTTCAGCCTAGTCAGCACCAGATCATAAGTCAACTAATGGCCATCTGGGCCAATGAATCCTTGGGAGATTAACATCTGTATTTTTTTGGGGCAAATCAAGTCATTCGAATCTGTATTTCCGTTAGAAGGAAAAATCGGTCGAGAAACAACTTGAAAGCAGCCCGGCCCCTCCAAAGCTCGGCTCGGCACCTAAACCAGGATTTGTGCAACGTCCACCGAAGCGTGCGGTTCAGTCCGATGAAGACTGGCAGCAGCTGGCTGGCCAGGGGGCGGTCCTACGCCCGCGGTCTGCGCCCCTGGCCCTGGCCCCAGGCTGCCGCTCGACTTCGGGTCCCGAGCTTCGGCCCTCCTTCTGGTCGAGCGCCGATCGATCGAGTCCGTTTCACGGGAGCCGAACGCGGCGCCAATGCCAGAGCACCGAGCCGCCCGGCCGCGATCGGAGGCCACGTCCAGGGGGAGTCCTGGGAGACGGGCAGGACGTTCCGGGGCCGGCGGAACGACGGGGCGGGGGCTCCCCGGCACGCGGCCCCCCAAACGCTCGCTCGCCCCCCAGCCCGCGCCCGGGGTCCGCCTCGCCCGAGCCGGCGCGGGCTCACCTGTCCTCCAGGACGGACTCCATGGGCGCCACGTGCTCCGCGTCCAGCGAGCGCAGCCGGCCGGCGAAGGCCACGGCCTCCTCCAGCCGCGCCACGGCGTCCCGACCGCCGAAGCCCACGAGCGCCAGGCGCTCCAGGCGCGCGACCACCTCGGCCGGGACGCGGCCGCCGCCCTGGCGGGACAGCGCGGGCGCAGGTCACGGCGGGGCCGGCCGACCCCACCCCCCTCCCCCCACCCCGCGCCGCGCCCGGACGCCTCCGCGCGTACCTGCGGCCCCCGCGAGGCCGAGCCCCGCCGCCCGCCTCCCCGGGCCGGGAGGCGCCGCCGCAACGCCCGCGCCCACATCTCCGCCCGCGCCGGCCCCGCAGCGCGCACTCCCCGCGCCGGCGCCCGCGAGTGACGTCATCGCGGCGCGCCGCCCCGTCCCCGCCGCCGCCGCCGCCGCCGCCGCCATGAACAGCGTCGGGGAAGCGTGCACCGACATGAAGCGCGAGTACGACCAGTGCTTCAACCGCTGGTTCGCCGAGAAGTTCCTCAAGGGGGACGGCTCCGGGGACCCGTGCACCGACCTCTTCAAGCGCTACCAGCAGTGCGTGCAGGTGAGCGCGCCCGGCCCCGCTCGGGCTCCCCGGCCTGCGGCTGGGGCCGGGCGGGAGGGGCGGCGCGGGGAGCCGGCGGCGGGAGCGTCCCCCTCGCGTCGCCGCCGAGGTCGCCTGCGCAGCCGTCCGAGGGGCCGGGGCCGGTTTCGGAAGCCGGCCAGGGGGCGTGGCGGTGCGTCCCCGGGGCTGGACGCCAGCCCTCCCCGGCCCGAGGGGCCCCGCGCAGGAGCCCCGCGTTCCGGTCGTGGCGGCGCGGCCTTCTCGCGGTGGTCGGGCCAGAAAGGACGCCGGCTTCCGGGCCGGTGGAGCTGGAGGGTCTTGGCTGGACCCCGTGACTGGCCGTGGCCGCTTTCTCTGCCGCCCCGTAAGGAAAGCCCCACCCCCGCCCGAGCGAACGAGTTTTAAGAGCAGGCCTGAAGGAGGCACCCTCTTTAAGACTTCCTTCCTCCGGACAGTTCCGGGGAGGAAAGGGAGACTTGCTCGACGTCGTAGAGGTCTTCGCCCCGGGATCGAGGTTGGAGCCTGCATCTGCCACAGAGTTGCTGCTTTCCGAATTTCACTTCTCAGTTCAGCGATTCCCTCCTGGGTGGGGAGTTCTGACAGTTCAGTGTGATTTTACTTTTGTATTGTCGTGTGATTTACGAAACTTGATCTTTGACCTTCAGGTGTATATGTGTGTATATATATATTTTCCTTTTTGGGTCACACCCGGCGATGCACAGGGGTTACTCCTGGCTCTGCACTCAGGAATCACTCCTGGCGGTGCTCGGGGACGTACGGGATGCTGGGAGTCGAACCCGGGCTGGCTGCGTGCAAGGCAAATGCCCTCCCCGCGGTGCTAGCTGGCTCCGGCCCCGACCTTCAGGTATCTTACTGCTGTATTTTCTCTTCCTATCAGAAAGCCATCAAGGAGAAGGAGATTCCCATTGAAGGACTGGAATTCATGGGCAATGGCAAAGAAAAGTCTGAGAGCTCTTCTTGATCTCGACAGTCACCTTAAATTTGACTCTTCTGAGGAACTCTGGTTTTTGTCAGTTGAGACCGTGAAGATAGCCACTGGTTTGAGGAGGAATTTATGGGGGAGTTTTATTTTCTTCTCCTCGAGGTTTTCCTCTTGTAAAAGATGATGGACCATCACTGCTTTGGGACAATTCTCTCACAGCTTTGGCACCTTGAGAAACTCAGTAAGCTAAAACGGAATTATTTCTTGGGATTATGGTTGCAATAACTTGATCTGGAATCAGCTTTAAATATATACCAGTCTGTAAATGATGATAAACCTGTCAGCGTCGCCTGACCTTGATTTATGCTGCCAAAAGGACTTGCGGTACACTCAACCTTGCCCTTGCCTTGGGGCACTGCTCACAGATGCGATTGATTAGGACATCTCTTTTTCTCTCAGGGAACTAATGGTCTGAAACGGGATCGTGGCAACAGTTTTAATCAATGCTTGAGAGCAGTTTTATTTTTTATATACTCTAATGCTTAATACTGCTGGTGGGAGTTAGCCTGGAGGAAGACAACTTTTAACCCAGTTAACATAGAGGGGTGTCAGAGCTCCGATTAGCACTTGAAAGGTTGCAGTGACTACCGCGTCAGCTCTGTACAGTTCGGGAGTTCTGGCCCTTGAAGTAGCTATGGAGGAAGCTAAAACAAAACTATTTATTGGGATTACAATTATAAATTGTAAAGATTTGCTGTTGCCAGTTTTCAACTCAAGGTCATGAATTAAGTCAAAACCCGTAAGATGCCAAAATGCTACAACTGGTTAAGCAGGGAGAGGGAAGAGTTTTGCTTTATTTGCCTCATTTATCCACTTTACCCTGCCCTTGAAATCATGAAAATGGAATAAACATTTATTTCTAGCATTACTTGCCCCTGGAACTCTGCACTTTAAGTTATCCTGCAACTCCACACACCCCTATTTTCCTGGGAAGCATTTTCTAATTTAAAGGTGAAGATCAGACTTAACTCAGATAGTATAACAATTAGAAACCACTGGTTTCAGAATGCCCTAGGCAGATACTGTGGAGGGCTGGGTGTGTGTGTGCGCGGGGGAAGGGGGTCCCTGCTGCTGTCCAGCACAATACAGCGCCCTGACCACTGAGATGTTGCAACGGCATACTCAAAAACCAGCCAAAACAAGGTAACACTTATTTGCAAAGTAAAGCACACGGTCTGGAGCTAGAGCACAGGGGGTAGAGCATGCCCCTGGCCGACGCAGATTCAATTCCCAGCATCCCATATAGTTCCCTGAGCACCGCCAGGAATGATTCCTGAGTGCAGAGCCAGGTGTGACCCCCCCCCCCCAAATAAAAGGTAAAGTGCACAAACCTTGTTTGGGTGCCCCACTTTGCGCTGCAAAGTCCCATTTGATGGTGCTTGGGGGCCATGTGGTATTGGGGATCCAAACCAGGCCTCCTGCATACAAAGCTTGTGCCCCCAATCCATTAACTTTCTGGCCCTTAATATCTTTTTTTTTGTTCGTTTTTGGGTCACACTCCTGGCTTATGCGCTCAGGGATTACTCCTGGTGGTGCTCAGGGGCCAAATGAGTTGCTGGGAATCGAACTCAGGTCAGCCGCATGCAAGGCAAACGCCCTACCCGCTGTGCTATGGCTCCAGCCCAAATATCTTAAAATGTTTCATAATGACACAGTCAGGAGAGGCAAGTGTTTACATACTTCAGAATGTCCTATTTTTTACAGTTGCTTCGTTTGGTCCAATTTACCATATGCTCAGATAGTGTAGAGCTTCATTTATTTAAGGCATCACTAAAACCTTGTAAGTGGTTGTACACTTAAGAGTAAACCTGCTTTAAGCCAGCCATGTATGCTTCTCTCCTAATTGCTACTGGGGAAATGATTTTTGAAGATTACCTTCTTACTGAGCCAGGGTTTGAACCAAACCAGTGGTAGTCAGGGGACCATGGGGGATCCTGGGGATCAAACCTGGGCTTCCTGCACACAGCATATGCATCAGCCCTTTGAGCTGTCTTCCGGTCCCCTTACCTTTCTGTTTCTCCAGCTGTCTAGGATCAAACCCAGGGTCTGATGCAAGTGAGGCCACATGCTCTACTTCGGAATCACATCCCAGCATGATTTCTCATTGTTGTTCATGCTGTGAGCCGTGGGGAGGTGTGTGGGGTATTTCTGGCCACACCATGCGTGCCCCTGGAACCAGCCCTGGGATCGGGCCAGGGCTCCCACATACAAAGTATGCATGCCAGGGGGTTCTGCCAGCAGGTCAGTCTGTACCTGTGAGGTGAGTGCATGAGCAGCCTGATGGCGCCTTCAGACTTCCAGATACCCCAAAATTGCTGCTGTGCCTTTGGCCAGAGCCCAAAAACCTGGGGCAAAGTTTACCAAGGAAATGGCCAAAAGTTAGGTATGTGGGAAACACACCCACAAACCACCTCCAGCTCAGCTATATAATTGGAGGCAAGGCTTCTCTGGTTCCTGATTGAACTGCTTAATGGCCATGATCCCAGAGACTCAGAAACAAATCTCAAAAAAGAGCGGCTTTTGGCAGAAATGTGTCCAGACCCCTCAGTAGGTTACTGTTGCTGGGCCACCCCTGGGGGGAAAGGGTGTTGTCCCTCCGCCTGCTCCCCCTTGGTGGCCGTCATCCTCCAGAGGCCATTGGACAGTCAGGTCTGGGCCTGCAGTGATGAAACTTGTTGGGCCTCACGGGATGGGGGTGGAGCCGGTCCTGTCCTCCCCACCCCAACGAGACCCCAAGTCATCGCCCATGAACGGCCTCTCTGGCTCCTGATCAAGGTGCTTAACGGCCATGATCCCAGAGACTCAGAAACAAATCTCAAAACCCAGCGGCTTTTGGCAGAAATCCCTCCAGATTTAAGTGTTAAAATTTCGGAATTTCAAAATCACATGGCCCTACTACAGCCACGTGACATCATGTTATTCATAACCAGCAATAGAACACAAATTGTCTACTGTTGCCTTTTCAGCAGATGTGAGTGTTGGGGTAAAATCTCATAATAATGGTGGGTCTGGTGTTGAAATATTGAATGTGACCAAAGTAGAGAGAGAGTAATGTGGAAATCATCTGCCCCACAGGTAGGGGGAGGGTGTGGGATGGGGATATACTGGGGTTGTGGGGGTGGAGAATGGGCACTAGTGAAGGGACGGGTGTTTCATTGTATGACCGAGACTTATACCCGGAAGCTTTATAACTGCTCTCATGGTGATTAAATAAATAAAATTATTAAAAAATGAAAAAAAAAAGGTGGAGTGCATGCACAATTCAATCAGCTAATCAGTGGCTGAATAAATAGCAGTACTCCTACCAAAAAAAAAAAAAGTATGCATGCCAGGCCAACAACAACGAAGAGACAACACAGGCTCAAGTGCAAGCTCTCCCGCTCCCCATACTGTTTTTTTTTTGCACTTTGGGTCACACCTGGCGATGCACAGGGGACCATATGGGATGCTGGGAATCAAACCCGGGTCGGCCACGTGCAAGGCAAACACCCTGCCAGCTGTGCTATCTCTCCAGCCCCCCCATACTGTTTTTGACTTCATCCTCCCCAGTAAGATGGCTGCAGTTAGCTACTTCCAAGTTTTTTTCTGGGGGTGGGGGTCTCCCAAGCAAGTGCTCAGGGGGCCTGGGGCCCCAGCAGTTCTCTGCCAACCAGGACGGCAACTCAATGCAATGGCCTGAGCATGTGGTGCTGTTTGGGCCCTGCAGTACCGGTGTACCCTGGCCACTCCGGTGGGCTAGGGATCTCCAGTGCTACACCTTGGGCTGCTCAGGTGACCACTGGGCCCTGCAGTGCTGGGTACCCAGGCCACCCTGGGGGCTAGGGACCTCCTGGACCGCACCTGGGGCTGCTCGGAAACCTGGGTCACATGTGCCCTAAACACTGCACACTGCCGCCAGAATTGTTTTCTATCAACTACTGTTGTTTCTCCCTGACTGTTAACAGCTGCAGAAGGTCAATTCCAGAAATAAAGCCAGTACTCTAATAGGGATGCCACAACGTGTCTTCCTTCCAAGGTTTCCAAGCCTTTGACAAATGTCTCCAAGGTGAGAATTTAATGTCTTTGGAGAAAATGAGCTGCCCACAGGAGTATTCCCCAGCAAGCACCGGTAGAGAGGCTGGGGTGTGTCTCACGTGGTTGAGCACATGCCTAGCCAGAGCTCATACCCAGGACTGAAGACCAATTCCAGTGAACAGGACGGGAAAGCTGAGATCTAGGCAGCCTGAATGAGGCTCACAGGGGACTCCCAGGAGTGAGCCAGATCCAGGGGCAGCTCCCTCCGGAGCCCGTCTCAGAATTTCCCCAGCCCACCTCAGTCCCTCTGCCTTACCCAGCCCCAGAATCCTACTAGAAATTTAGTCAGGGCCTGAGCTGGTAAGGTACAGTGGGTAAGGCATTTGCCTTACATATGGCAGACCCAGGTTCGATCCTGGCACCTCATATTACTCCCAAAGCACCACCAGGAGTGATCCCTGCGTGCAGAGCCAGGAGTAAGCCCTGAGCACAGCTGTGGTGACGTCACATCCCCCCACTCATTCAGAGGCTTGGACTGGAGAGGGACAGTGTAACACAAGACCTTAATTTCCGAAGGTAAAATACCACCAAAGAACATAACTTGTGACCAATCTAAGGTTTATTTAAGCCACCCCCTGCCATAAGCTGAGGAATGGAGGGTGGGAAACTGGTCAGTTTGATACTCGGAGGTGAGCTAAGGTCCCATGCACTTTCCTGGTCCATGTGGAGGTTGGTCCAACAAGCACTGTGGTCCCGAGCCTGGACACAGGTGCAGGTTCTCGCATTTCAGTCATCTTCGTAGCCGGTTGGCAGTGGGTTCACGTGGGAATTATGGAACAGAGTATGGTTACCATCTCCCCAGGGAAAGGGCTGTGAAATAAAGGTGTCGATTAGGCAATTCCAGTAACTAATGCAGCAATAGCATGGCCATGCATGGCTGGAGGTCTAGTGCAGAGGGGACATAAAACAATGAAATTAGACCCCACCTGCGGCATCTCCCAGTCTTTCATCAAGGCACGTTTTGATAATTAGTACCTGGGTGCTGTGTTTATGAACGCGTAATGAAGTCACCTGCACTGTAACAGGCAAGGTGGGAATGGGGGAGCCGCTTATTTAAATGGGTGGGAAGAGGGAACCATGACTTCCCCTCGCCCCTCATCTACTTCGCATATTCTCCTCCTGACAAGGCCCCGCTGCAGTGATCTGCACCCCAGGACATGCTGGCCTCGCTTGCTTCTACCACTCGCCGAATGCCGCATGTCCTCAAGCCACACACGCTGGAACAGCACGGAGGGCAGAAACTCGCTCCGTAGGGCTTTTGACCTAACGGACAAAGGAGTGGGGCTTAAAGACCTAAGTGGGTTTGGTTTTTTGGTCTGGGGCCACGCCCAGTTGTGTTTGAGGGGCCTTATGGGGCGCCAGGGATCGAACTAGATACCCGCTGTACTATGTCTCTCGCTTCAACACAATCAAGTTCCTTCCAAAAATGAGACTCAGTGAAGTTTTCTTTCAGAGGCCCAGGAAAAACAGAAGAGGCAAGCCTGACAGCGAAGCAGCGGAAGACAAGTGCTGGTCAGACACCTGCATCGAGCGGCCCGAGGAGGAGCGAGGGGCACAGCTGCAGGATGCCGCCCTGCGCCCGGCAGACCCGGCTCCACCCTCAGCAGCCCCTGGTCCCCTGCCGCGCCAGGGGCGAACGGGGTGCGACCCCCGAGGCACGGGCAACAGGGATCTGCTCGCTCCAGAGTCGCCGGGTGCTAAGCTCGGAGTTCTACGCCCGTCACCCCAGGCGCCCGAATGCTCGCGCTCTCTGCGTACGCTGGTGCGGACCCCACTCTGCACACGAAGCGCAGGGACGAAGGGCCGGCGACTCTCGGGGAGCGCCCGGGGGAGGGCGGCTCCCAGCCCCGCGTCGCCTGCAAACTCCCGGCGGCGGGCGGGCACCCGAGCAGTCGCGGCGGAGGGCGGGCGGGGCACGGGCCGGGCGGTCCCGGAGGAGACAGAGGCGGCGCGGGGCGGCAGCCTCCCCCGCAAGGCCGGGCAGGGGCGCGCAAGGCCTCGGCCGGCGCCGGCTCTCCGGGACGGGCGGACGCCCGACGCGCCTCCGGGCGTACCTTGGACCTGATGCGGAGGTGGGGGTAGGCGACGAACTCGGGCCGCTCGTGCTCCTCGTGCTGCGACTTCAGGAAGACGTTCAGCATGCTCACCGCCACCCCGGGGAGCGCCACGAAGTAGGTGAGGGCCTTCCACATGCGAGCTGGGGGCGGGCGCGACGCCTCAGCGCGGCCCCCGGGCTCCCCCGCCCCCACCCCGCGGCCTCAGCCAAGGTCACCGGCCCCCGCGCCTCGCCCCGGGAGGGCCGACGCGCGCCCGCAGCCCCCCGCCCCGGTACCTGAGCCCTCCTCGCCGTGGGCATGGCTCGACATCGGCCGGCCCGGCTCCGGCCGGGACCAGCTCAGGAGCCCGGAGAGCCGCGACCCTCGCGCTGCCGCCATCTTCGACCGGGACAGCCGCGGGCCGGAACCGGAAATGGCGAAGGGCCCTGCGGGGGCGGGACTACGCCGCAGACGGGGATTCCTATTGGGCGGCGCGGAGCTTGCGCAGCAGCCTCCGGCCGAGACGGGCGCCGTCCGACCCCCGCGCGGCGGCGCGCAGCGAGCGTGCGCCCTGCGCCTCCTGGGTCCCCGCCGCGCCCGCCGCGCGCCGCCCGCTGGGTTCCGGGGCCGAGCGCGCCCTGGCCTCGGCGCCTTTCCCCGACGCGGGCTCAGCGCGTCGCCTCTGAAGAGGTGCCTTCTCGTGCGTCCTGGGACACCACTTCTCGGGACACCGGCGCGGAAGCGTGGGCGCGACGATCACGGTCGTTTGCGCCGCTCCCTCTGCCGGGAGGAATTCCGGGGGGGCGGGCGTTCGCCGCGGCAGCTTCCCCGACCCTCGGAATCGAGCCTGCCGCGTAGCCAGGGGCCGCTGCGAACAGGATGACGGGCTTGAGTGGTCGAGCAGACCAGAAACAGCTCTGGGATGGTTTCAAAAGACGCGGATCCGATGCCTTGTTCCGCATCCTGGATTGTTGGCTTGTTTTGTCCACCGTGAAATTCTGGAAATAAAAAAAAAAAGAAACGCACATGTAAGGGACTGGAGATAGAGCCCAGCAGGGAAGGCCGATCCCCCCCTGCCCCCCCGGTTCCATCCCTGGTACCACGTTGATCCCCAGACCTCGCCGAGCGCGATCCCTGAGCGCGGAGTCGGGAGTGAGCCCCGAGCACCGCCGGGTGTGGCCTAAGGGCGAGGCAAAACGGGGCCAGGGCGCTGGGACCGCGGCGAGGGCGTTCGCCTTGCCGTCGGTCGACTCGGCGGTCTCGGGCATCCCGAGGCAGTGCCCCGAGCACCACGAGGGTGATTCCTGATGCAGAGCCAGGAGCAGCACTGTGGCACTGTCGTCCAGTCATTTTGCGCCCGCAGGCACCAGTGATGTCTCCGTTGTGAGACTTGTCACTTTGTCACTGTGTTTGGCGTACCGAACAGGCCACGGGAAGTCTGCCAGGCTTTGTCGCGCTGGCAGATACTCTCAGTAGCTTGCTGGGCTCTCTGAGCTGGACAGAGGAATCGAAACCGGGTCGACCGGGGCTGGCCAGGGCGAGACAAAGGCCCTACCCGCTGTGCTGTCACTCCAGCCCGGAGCCAGAAGTAACCCCAGAGAATTGCTGAGTGAGGCCCCCAAGCAAGCAAGCAAACAATCACAAACTGGAAAGACAGTGCAGTGGGCATAGTGACTTACATGAAGCTGACCCAGGTTCAATGCCCATTAGGTCCACCGAACACCACCAGCATGACACCTACCTTGCTTGTTTGAGGTGCTGGATTTAATTCCCAACACTGCACCATCTCCCACGCACCCAGTAGTAACTCACAGAATCCATGGGGGCCAGGTGGCCTGAGGCCAGCCGCTCCCAGCATCACTTGGGTGTGGCCCCTAAATAAATAAATAAATAAATAAATAAATGGCATATAGAGCATATACAGCAGTTAGGGCATTTGCCTGGCGCCTGGCCAACCTGGGTTTGATCGCCGGCATGCCATATGGTCACTGCCAGGAGAGATTCCTGAGCGCAGAGTCAGGAGTAACCCCTGAGCACTTCAGGATGTGACCCAAAAAGCCAAAAAAAGGGGGGGGGTCTAGTTTTCTTCCTACACTTTGTTCTTGTCTTTGGAGCCGCGCCCTCTGAGGGTTGTACGTGCCAGCCCTGTGGTTCTCAGGGCTCAAGCAAGGGCTCTGCTGATGCGGTACATCCCTCACCCTACAATTCTGTGTTTTCCCCACATCTTCCCTTTTTCTTCAGCTAAAAGTCTAAAGCTAAATCTTCTGATTTTTTTGCCTAAAGCCCTTCACCTACAAGTGTTCTTTAAATATCTTGGAATGTTAAGTGAAATATTTTAAATATAAAAGCACAAAAAGAGACATCACATACAATGAAAGTAGACTTTTCAGTCATAGGTCACTAATGTAAAGGGGGCTGGAGAGATAATAGAGTAGGAGATAGAGCAGCTGGAGAGATAGTTTAGCTGGAGAATTAGTAAAGCATTTGCCTTGCACACAGACAACCTGGGGTCCATCCTTGGCATCCCATATGGTCCGGGAAGCCTGCCAGGAGTGATCCCTGAGTCCGGGGATGGGAATAACCCTTGAACATCACCAGGTGTGGCCCCCGAACAAAACAAAAATGTAGAGGAAAATCTGAACCCTTGGAGCAAGGAGATCCCTCAGAGGACTGAGTCACAGCTCTGCATATGGAGTTCCTCCCCACTGCCCGGTCCCCCGAACACTCCTGGCAGTGGCCACTCAGCACCAATTGAGTATGCCCTTTCCCTACTCCATAAAGAGAGATATGAACTCTTTTCCCCAAAACACATCGTTCCTGAGTCTACACGCTTGTGCAAGAGGTTACCAGCAGCCCCCTAAGAGTCACGCTCCCTGGAGGTGGGAGATGGTGCACAGTTAAAGCTCTTACCTTCCGCGTGGCCAACTTAGGCTTCATTCCCAGCCCCACGTATGCTCCTCCAGCCCAGCCCTGAGCACAGAGATGCAAGAACGCCCTGAGCACAGCCAGATGTTCCCCCATATTAAATAAAATATAAAAATGAAATACGAAAGTTCGTAAATTTGTAACTGTACCTCACGGTGATTCACTAACAAAAAAGAAAATAAAAAATTTAAAAATAAATAAAATTTAAAAGTAAATCAAATAAGATAAAATAAAGATCATGTCTTGAGGCTGGAGGGATATTGAACAGGTAGGGAGCTTGCCTAGCACAGGCTGCCAACCCGGGTTCAATCCCTGGCATCCCATATAACCCCTGAGCCAGGAGTGAGCCCTGAGTGCAGAGCCTGGAGTCAGTATGGCCAAGCATGGCCCAAAACCCCAATAATAGCAATAACAATGATAAGCCACAAGATTTCCCCACCAGACAGCCCGGCATTGCTTCCGTTTTTCACTCCGAGGCTGCTCAGGACTCATTATCAGAAAGGCTTCCCAGGACAGGAGAGAGCAAGCCCCCCCTCCCCCACAAAAAAGCGGGTACGCGCATGCCAGGAGGCCTGGGTTTAATCCCCAGCACCTCAGGGACCCCCAGCCAGCACTAGCAGGAGCACCACTTTGGTGGGGCCCACCACCAGAAGGAGAAAAGGAAAACCAGAAAGAGGTTCCAGAGCGACCATCTGAAATAGAAAGAGCCCCCCGCCCCCCGCCCGACACTCTATCCTCCCGCCCGCTCTTATCTCTCCCCCTTGCGCTCAGCACCATCTGCTGTATGAAATATTTATTTATTTATCACCAGCTCTCCTTCGCCGAACACCAGAGGCGCAGGGACTATGTTCTCTTCACCCCTGTGACCCCGACTGAGAAGCACTCACTTTTTTTACATTTTTTAATTTTATTTTTATAAAGTTGTTCACAATATTTGATTACATTTAATATTTGAACACCAATCCCGCCACCATATTTCCATCCCGAACCCCAACCCCTATCCCCAAAGCAGAACCAAAATAATTTATTTTGTATTGCTTCTTATGAATAATCCGCTAAAATGATCCAAAAAAGGCTTCTTAGAAGAAAGTGTGTGAAGATTGTTGTATTTCACTTAGGAGCCATTAAGCCCTTCTAAAAGAGATTAGTAACATGTTGTTAAAGGTTGAGCCTTATATGTGTGTGTGTGTATGTGTGTTTGTGTGTGTGTGTGTGTGTGTGTGTGTGTGTAGATTGGTTGGAGAGGCACTCACTTAAGTCTACATTAATCTTCACCATGATCCTGTTGGACTCAATGTCATTCTCCCCATTTCATTTTTCATTCTCCCCATTTTTCACTGGAGGAAATGGAGAATCTGCAGAGCTTAGGAAATCGCCCAAGATCATGAAGCTTGAGGCAAAGTTGTCAAGACAGTTCTTTTCCTTTCTTTGCTTGGGGTTTTTGTTTTAGGCTGTACCTGACAATCTCCTGGTTCAGTGCTCAGGGTACATGGGTGCCCATGCGGTGCCAGGTATCCAACCCAGGGCCCCCACATGCAAAGCACGTCCTCCGGCCATTTAGGCCATATCCCCAGACTCTCCCCATCTTTTTTGTTTTGTTTTGTTTTGTTTGGGCAGGGACGAGGGGCTCACACATTGTGTTCAGGGCCTACCCCTGGTTCTGCACTCAGGGATCACTCATGGCCCTGGGGACCATATGTGGTGCTGGAGATCCAACTCAGGTTGACTGCATGCGAGGCAAGAGTCCTACTATTGCTCCAGCCCATGAGTTTGTTTTTGGTTTTTTGTTTGTTTGCTTTTTTTGGTCACACCTGATGATGCTCAGGGGTTACTTATGGCTCTGCACTCAGGAATTACTCCTGGCAGTACTCGGGGGACCATATGGGATGCCAAGGATCGAATCGGCTGCATGCAAGGCAAATGCCCTTCCTGCTGTACTATCACTCTGGCCCCATGAGTCAGTTTTTTTAACCTTAAGTTTACACAAAGCTATTCAGAGAGATTAATCTGTCCAAGTTCCTCAGGAACAGACTGGGTAATAAAAAGATCAATTTCATATCTCTCTCTCTCTCTCTCTCTCATACAGTTTTTGATTATTGGGCCACACCCAGGAGTGCTCAGGCCTTACACTCAGGGACTCATATGTGATCCTGGGGGTTAAACCCTCGTGGGCTGTGTCAAGGCAAGTGCCTTACCCACTGTACTATCCAACCCCCAGTGATTTTATTTCTGACTTCAGTGGGTTGGGGGAAGGGGAAGTCTCAAGGGTTGCTTGCCTTGCACATGGCCAAACTTGGCTCAATCCCTAGCACTGCACAGGGACCCCGGGCCACTCTAGAAATGATTCCTGAGCACAGAGTCAGGAGGAAGCCCTGAGCACTGCCACGGTGGCTCCCAACCCCTACTCTCACGGGAATAAAAGAGTCTCAAGTCCTGAGGTCCTTAACAACATCGAGGGGCTGGAGCGATAGCACAGCGGGTAGGGCATTTGCCTTGCACA